TGCACAAAGCTCCATTTTTTGCTTTACTAAACTGCCTTATCGAGTTGTTTTCCGTCTTATTTTCACTCTCCATCCACCTGGGAAGGGGAGTGATAGAGTGGCTTGGTGGGCATGTGGCATGTCTCCAAGGTCAAACCAGCACAGTCTTTTTAAGTGCCCATGGAGAGAGACAAAGGCAGTTCTATCTCTCTTTCTCTCTCTCTCTGACTGTCTGATTGTCTGTCTATCTATCTATTCATCTGTCTGTCTATCTGTCTATCTATCTATCTATCTATCTATCTATCTATCTATCTCTCAATATTGTATGCTAGAGTAATAGCAGTTATCTAATAGCAAGCTCCTTGGTGGGACATGAGGTTTATCAGCTGTGCTCCTTATCTCTCTGTTTTGCTGCGTTTAATAAGAATATGTTAACACAAACTATAGCTCTGTGTTTGCCCTGACATGTCAGCCTTGTTAAGTGGGGAAAGCTGTCTTCTGTGGATGATAAGGAAATACATCTCCCTCTCCCTGCCCAAAATTGATGTGAGTGGGTTTATAATGAAGGCTGCCTTGGACATTGCTCATCCTTATTCAAGTTGCTTGATACTGTTAATAGTATTAAGGAATACTATTGGCACACTATGGGATTTGCAGAATCCAGTGTTGTCCTGGTGTAAGAGAAGACAAACTTTGAGTATGGTGATATTGAAATGTGCCCTGAGACATCCAGTTTTTGGGTGGCAGGGTGTGTGGAAGGATTTGGGCAGGTTCCTAGAGTTGCCTCCACTTACCTGTGACTTTACACCTGAACACGTGACCAACCCTGGCACTGACCCATCAGTGATGGAAGGGTGCCTTGCCCACGCCAGTGAAAGCCAGCAGCTTCCTGCCCTGTGCTGGGGCTGGGCCTGTGCCTGCTGAGCCACTGTTCAGACCTCACAGAGGACTGTAGTTGAAGCAGGAACCCAAACTGCATTTGAGGACACTATGGCTGACACAGGGACTCAAACCACAGCAACCACAGTACTTGCAGCAGTAGTGGAAACAAAATAATGGATAAGGGAAGCTACCAGTCCATACAATTGATAAGAAAAGGAGGAAGAGGAAAACGAGGAGGAGGAGAAGGAGGAGAGAGAGAGAGAGGAGAGATCAAATGAAAAAACTGGTCATTCAACAAATAAATTTGAAGGAGTGAGAAAAATCAAATAGGAACCTGAAGTTACCTGTTCCTTGACCTCATCAGAACTTTGAGACTTGCGGAAAGACTACAGTCACCAGCCAGGTGATGTTGGGATAACAGGGCTGACAGTCAACAATTAGAAGGTCATGAGGCCACAACAACTGAAATCCCTTGCTAGAGATGGGGAAATTGAAGGAGGAATTGGAAAAGAAGGAGCAATTTTCAGTCTCTAGAGATGACCTCTCTAAAGCATGAGGGCACAAAATCCATTTAAGGAAGATCTTGTGAATTCCCTGGGAAGGTGGATCACTGCAGATTAAGGTATCCAGTCCTTGAGAGAATTAGAAGTACTGGAAGTGCTCTGTAGTAAAGTAAAAAGGTGTAATGTCCCTGTCTATGTTTAGGGACAAATTTTAGGAGAAAATGCCCTTGAATGAGCATTTCCTCTAGAGAGAAGGGCTTTGATCATCCTGTTTGCCAATGAAAGAAATAAATCCTAGCAGGTGAAAGTGAAAAAAACCCCAAAACTGTTTATTAACAAAGAAAAAAAACCCAAAAGGGTGCCCATAGGGATTAAATATATGCTAGATACTGAAATTTTCCATAAGGAAAAGGATTAAATAAATGCTAGATACTGAAATTTCAAAAACTTCACCCTAACCCCCCACCAGACACCATTGCCATGAAGCAAAGATGGAGGCTGCTCTTTCTATCAGGGAAAGGGAGGAACAGGAGTTAGCATAGCCACTGAGACAGAATAGATGGCAATTTTTCTGATGTTAGTCTCCTCCTTGCAGAAGGAGAAGCTGGTGGGTTTTAGTGTCCTTTCTCATGTTGGTTCAGCTGCTTCGAGGTCTCAAGTTTGGGGTATACTCCCCACCAGCTCCCCACATGGGTAAAAACAAAAGTCAAAAGAAAAAAAAAAAGCAGAAATAGTTCGAGGAAAAAAAAATGAAAAATAAAAAGAAAGCAGCTGTTTCTGGGCATAAGCAGACAATTACAAATAAAGTATCGTTATAAAATCTCCCCAAGACAGTCCCTAAAGATCCAGAGCATGCCCTTTGCACAATGGCCATATGGAGGAAGGTGGCCCAAAGTGCCAAAGAAGCACCATCATATAACAAGTTTTCCCAAAACAAAAGAGGCCGTGCTTTATTTACTGATGGATCTTTCTGCATGGTAGGAAACCATTGGAGGTGGTAAGCTGCTGTGTGGAGTCCTACACAATAACTGCTGAAGGAGAAGGAGAGGCAAACCTACTTGCAGAAGTGAAAGCCATCCAACTAGCTCTAGAGATCACTGAATAAAAAAGTGGTCTGGATTCTATCTCTACACTGACTCCTGGATGGTGTCTAATGTCCTGTGGTGGTGGCTGCCCCAATGGAAGAAGACTAACTGGAAGCAGGGGTAAACCTATCTGAGCTGCTGTAATGGGGCAGGACATTGCTGCACAGGTAGAAAATATGACTCTGAATGTAACTTATGTAGATGCACATGTACCCAAAAGTTACGCCACTGAAGAACACCAGAACATTCTGGGACATAGTTCATGTTTTTCTGTGGGCATGAACCAGCTGAATCAACTCATAAATGTGACCCTTGGAGGACCTATGCAACTTATTGGTGTAATGGGTCACCAGGAAGAGCAGTGAGACTAAAATGTATTAACTGTAGATGAGCATTTGGACACTTAAGCAGTGAATTCAGGGTTAAAAAACATAGTCATGGACATTATAAAATGGCTTAGGATTCAATATTCTAGTGAAAACAGTATGTGGATAAACCATCGAGAGACAATTACTTTTCTTGTGTAGTTGCAAATACAGAATCAGTAAAAAGCACTTGAGTCTCCTAGGAGCGTTTGTGAAAAAAAAAAAAAAAAGCTCTCACTGAAGACTGGTTATACATCCAAATGATTCCACTGTCATATGAAAAACTGCTCAACAATTTCATTAAAGGCTTTCTATCTGGTTGCAAGAGAGTATGGTTTTCAACAGAATATTGACTTCACTGGGGCTATTTTCTTTCATAGGCTACCACCAGGGAAAAAGGTTCAGACTTCAGTCTTTGTTAGTGAAGGTTTTGATCCTTTTTCAGAGAAGGAATGTGTCAGAGACTCATATACAAATACTTTTCTATATTTTTAAAAAATGAAGAATATATTAAAAACAAGTCAAACAAACAGCAATAGTAATAGTTTTAAGCAAAAATTAATAGTAACTTGACAAAGCAGGAGCTAAATAGTCACTGTTGTATGTTAAATTTTTGCATGTGATTGCAACTAATATGCTTATTGTATGTTTTGAGAGTATAAGTATTGAGCCAAAACACACATATTTAATAAACACGGATTTAAAAATTCCAAATTCAATTTGTTATCAAATATGCATGAATTTACATGTACTTGGTAGACACTAGTGGCATTTTCCTGTTCTGTCATAGTCCTATTTGATAGACATTAATATTTAAAGATTGATGACATGCACTGTCTTTAATATTTCTTATGAAAATCTGGGGATAAAAAAGGGCCTGAAGTCAGGTAGGCCCAGCACAAATTGGTACTGGAAGTATGTGTTAACAACTGCCTACACCTTAGACCATGTCTAAGCTTTAAGGAGCTTCCTTGTCAGTACATGGCTCTGGTTCACTTTAATCTTTCTAATGTGGCTGTAAATAGGTTCTCAAAATCAATGTATTACATTTGTATACCAGATCCCCCCTCCTTTTTATTTCATTAAAATAAGCTATAGCAATAAATGAGAGGTTTGCCTGGCAGGAATTTCCATGTGCTGAACACAGCATGTTGGTCAGCAATCATGTCCCCATAGCCTCAGCTAAAACACATCTGATGATTGTTTATGAGAGCATTTGTTCTTTGCAAGATGTAGAGAGTAAATGGTGAAAGGGACAGTTCTGTCATCCATCGGGGTCTAACTCAAACAGACATAGCAAGTAAAACCTTTCTCACTACTGTACTTTGAAGATATTTTTGTGGAAGATTCAATGTAGAGGACCATACCTAAGCACATATTGTCTCAAATTTTCTAAGCATTGCTACAGGAAAGGTGTGATCAGAGGAGAGGATCGTGCAGAGGTGGGGCTGGGCTGTTCTCAGCCAACTTCCTGCTCAACCTTGAGACTCATTCTCAGCTTCCACCTGCCAACTCATTGCCTGGAGAAATGCTGGCTGTGCATGTGCCAACAAAACTGTGAAAAATCTACTTTACGTAAGAGGTGTGCACCAGGTTAATTATAAAAGTAATGGATTGGGCCCCCTCAGTCTCTCTGGAGGTGTGTTGTGGCATGTGAGCCAGCATGGTTTGAGGAGCTTGTTGTGGGAGCTGAGAACTTATTGAAGTGTACCTTACAAAATTAAGGGCTACCACTCTTGTGGAAGTCCATTATAAGAATTTAAGAGCTTGCTAGCTGACCTTATGAGTCAGAGTTATAGTGATGGTATGATAATAGCATGAGAGTTCCCTGACATATGTCTTTGTTCAGACTGAAGGAGAATTTATAGCAAATATCACGTCCTCTACCAGTGGGTTGTGACACCCAAGACACCATGCTATTCCTTAGTCTTAACACACCACCTCTGAAGTCATGTCAGTGTGTGGTAACTTACATGATCAGTATGATAAGAAGCTGTGAGCACTTAATGATAATTCACCCAAACGAGCATCTCCTTCCAATACTTTTTTCAGAGCATGAGTTATCTGTTATAGTGACAGTCTAGGTATATTTTATATTTTCATACTAAGTTCTTTGCCAGTGCATCCAACTGTCAGCCGCATTTTGGGTTGTCAGAGAGTTACTAAAGGAAGAAAAGCTCTCTTACCTAACTGAGCTGCTGCCAGCATCAAGGTCTTGTGCTGTCACTGCACCTATAATGGTCCCCACTGGTGTATCCTCATAGACTTCCATTGTGTACATGGGCTTGCTGAACACTGGAGGTTCATCCATGTCCAAGACATTTATCTTCACAGTGGCGGTATCTTTGAATGGACCCACTGAGTGAAATCGATGGTCAAGATGGAGATTGGAGGCCTCCACCTTAAAGGTGTATGCCTTCTTTGTTTCAAAGTCTAATGGCTGTAGAAAGAACAGAAGCAAAACATTAGATTTGACTAAAAATTAGGCATTGAAAAATCATTTTGGTTGGATTAATCTGACAAATCTTAAGATGCCTTTTGTGCAAAACTCATCTCCTGAGCTAATCAATCATTTAAGTTTGTTTTGCAGTTCATCTTATGCTAAGGTGAATTTTGAAATAGGCCAGATGAATCATAGTCAGGAAATTACTGCTGCTCTACATCGAAAAAATCAGGATGACTGGCATGGATGTAAACAGTTATAGTGTACATGTCTGAAGATAAATGAGTGAGATTCATCTCTTGCAAATGAGCTGAGTGAAGGTTAGTCAGAGATTTGCATTTGCAACTCCCATGCACCGGCAATCAGCAGTCTCTAACGGATCCAGCTCCTTAAATAGATTGCCTAGTTTTTTTAGTAGGAAAGGCTTTCAGAAGACCATGACAGTGATGAAGATGAGCCCAAATGAAAATTCTGATCTATACTAATAAGTCAAACCAAACTACAGGTACGACTTGGAATGTGAATTCTAACTTGATCTCAAACAAGCTTTTCCTGTAAAATGTTGATCTTAGCAGTGAACTGCTATACATGCCATATGTTTGATCTGCATGTACTTGGCAAAATGCAGACTTTGGCTCTGTCTTATGATCCTAGGTGTAATTCATAAGGTCTTGAAGATGACACAGCAGCTTTTGTGTAGTTATGTGAGGTTTTGACAGAATGTATCCTGCAAAATAAGGTTGTTTTGATGTGGGTTTCTGTCAACACATATCAATTTAGTGCCTTTACTTCTAGAAAGGCAATCATCTCAAAACCCTTAATGCAGTCTTATTTAGTTGAAAAGATGCAGAAGCTTTATTTTCATTTAAAGGGTTTATCTGCATTGGCTTTCATGTTGTTTTTAACATTTCTAACAAAGCCTTTTCCTGATGTCTGGGTAACACTGGCACCTAGTGGTTTCTGCCTATAATTGTTGAGCTGGAAATTTGCTAACAGGAATGAATAAAAAAAGAGCACGTTTACATGTGTATGAACAAGAATATTTCAATGTCTGTTATTTTTGACCCAGTGTTTCCAGACAGTTGTCACAGCCAGGATAGATTTAAATTCTATCTTTATCACAACAGCACATAATTGGCCAAATGACAGATTGGTGTAAATTGAAACACCTCCCTTAAAATCAATTTGGTTACATTGACTTGCATTAGCTGAACAGCTACCATAATTATTATAAATCCTTACAAAAGACTTTGTCATTTCGGTAGACTAGATGCTCAGGGGTTTTTTGGTTTTTTTGTTTTTTTTTTTTTTTGAGCTGAGGACCTAAAATTAGCCACATAAATTTTAATAGAAATAATCAGACTTGAAAGTAATTCACTACCAAACACAACCATCCTCCTACAGACAAAATTACCAGAAAAGCCAGTATAGGCTGTACCTTTGTGTCTGGACTGACAGAAAGAAGAAGAAACTAAGTCTGAGAAGAAACAGACAAAATTAAGTCTGGTAGATCTCATGTCCCAGTGGTGAAACCCTAAGATGTTGCCTTCACTAAAAATAGACATGTTGGTCCATTATCCATATTGCTGCCACACTGTATTTTCATTTTCTATACTACTCATGCACACTTGTCATGCATTGCCAAAATAATTTTGCCCAAAACAAAAAAGAAAAAAAAAGAAAACTCTTCTCCAGATATTTATATAAATTGGTAACACATTTTCAAAAAACATAATGAAAGGAGAAATATGAAGATTAAGGACTTAGTCAGGAGAGAAAAAGTCAAGGGTTAAACTAGAGATAAATGATTAAGACAAATAAAGTAAGAAATCTAAACTCCCACATAGGTAGTAATTCTGGGTAATACCTTGTATGTATCTTTCATACCACCAAAACTGCATTAAAACTTTTCAAGTTGGCTGCTGTAATACATCAGCATATTTGCAAAGAGATGTATTAATGGAAAAAAACATAATTCATGGAGTCTTTGCAGCCTGTCTTTCACCAAATTGCTCTTCAAGCACTTATACTAGGTCATGGTGCAGGGCCAGTGCCCAGTCACAACATTTCATGATGCAAGGGGAACAGAAAGCAGGAAGATTTCAAACAGTTTTGTCTATTGATAGGTTCAGACTGGCATATTTTACTGTTCAGGTACCCAGGAAGCAGGCAAAGTGGCTGCATTACTTCTCTACTCCCCAGCATTATGGGAAAATACTAAAGTATATATTTAAAAATACAGTGTGATCCCAAGAAGAGATAATGTTTTCCACTGTAACCTCAGAGCAACTCATCTTCTCTTTCTGTCCTTCTATGGGTCTGATGATAAATATAGTTAGGGGTTATGCGACCAGTGCAAAGCACAGATGGCAGTCAAAATAAGAAGAGACAGGCTGAAAGTGATGAGCCATCATGAGAGAAAGAAATCAGTGACAGACTCCCACAAAATAGCCTTTAGCCTAAGTAAGGCTAAACCACAACTGAAATGTATGGAGAATTGGGAGATGTTGCAAATGGTAAACCTAGGACTTAATTTCAAATAGAAAAAAATTTTGTACAACATATAAAATGTAGCAAGAGTATGGTTTTATTGTCTTGTGAAATGGGGATTGCATGCTACAGTCTCCTGACCAGTTCTGGTTTTCCCATATTTGAACAGTTAAGTCATATAGATAGCATTGACAGTTTAACATTTAGTTTTTTTCTGAATTGTCCAGACTTTGCCTGAAAACAGTAGAATTGAATGTCTGCATAGGTCTCAGGCAAAACCTTTCGGATTTTTTGATTTTTGGTTTAAAACATGTTAAAAAACCATTTCATTATATTTTTATTTTTTAGTTGATATCACTAAAAGCTGTAAAGGAAATGAGTGGTCCACACAATATTTTACCTGTATTAAAACAACAACAAAAAAAAACCCCAACAAACAAACAAATAAAAACCTCCACCACTATGTTTTGCTGTTATATAAAAACTGTCTGAGGGTGCTCAGTCCCATTTTCAGTTTGAATCTGGAATAGGGCTAAGAAAATGAACACAGTAAAATGTTTGAATTGTACAAAAACTCCAAACCGGCCCTGTACGGTTCTTGAAATATCTTTCAATTAAGCAGATTTTAATGAAATTACTCCATAGATTTTTTTAATAAGCAAGAAAAATATGTATTCCTTCTATAAAAGTAATTACATGCAGAAAGTAAATTTGAATAAGGCTTTTATTTTGCAAAGTTTGTTGTTTTAGTCTGGGGTTTTTTTGTGTGCAGTAAACAGCATATTTGCTAATAGGAAGGTGATACCTTATTAACTGTGAACTATTAAATAGCAGGAGTATTCCTAATTGATATTCTAAGTACCAGTGACAGAACAGATGTATTTGGCCCCCTCAACATTTCTTCATCTGCCTTTTCCTACGTAGGGGTTACCAGCTGCTCTATATAGTTGCCTAGTAAAGTGCTATCAGCATATACACACCTGTGCACAGCAAAGCCATTCTACAAATCCCCAAATCAAATACATACTGACAAATCCCTTTACCTTGCAACTCTGTAAGTACCATGAATGGACTTATTTAGTATGACTAGGACAGCACAAAACCAGCCCTGTATTAGAAATAAACATATTTTGAAATATTGTTGTTTTCCACATTCAAAGCAGAAGAAATGGTGCTATAGTGGGAAAGAGAGAGAAATAATTAAAGAACTGAAAGAAAAAAAATGGTCCAAAAGATATAATGAATTATAATTATAAGCACAACAAGGGTGGAAAAAGAATTACCCTCTCAGTTTGTTCTGCTTCACAAAGAGGCAGGACTGGAAACTCCAGAAATTTCTGCTTTTCACCCATAGATATCCACACATAAGAAACACTCTCTCACATAAGAGAGTATTGTTTCTTATAGAGGCTTTCACCTACAACGATGGAAAAGCTATATTTTTGGATGAGATTTTAAGCCACGGGACATAGGATAGTTATGGATAGTAGGACTGGGTTGACAGGAAGTGCATAATAAATTAGGCTTGACTTCATAATAGCATTGTGCAGTTGCAGAATCGCTCTGGGTCATCTGTGCTAGTCTCAAAAGCTGGAAACACTTTCCCCTTCAAATGGGTTGAGCATCTATGCATTTTGTTAAATATTGGCATAAGACAATTTGCTATGCATTGACACAATTTCTGCATGAGCAGTTAAGTTTCACTAACTGGACTTCTGCACTGGATTCTAAATAGCATAAAGAAATAAGTGGTATTACAAAGCAGGTTTAGTAAAGTAGGGTCTAGATCAACCAGGGGCATTCATTACTTAAGTGTTTAGAATGCACAGTAAAAAAACAGATCTGTAGTGAGTATTTCAAGATTTGATGGCAAGTGGACAAAATATATGTCTGTTCTGTATCTGGAGAAGGGGAGAAGCTGACCAGTGTCAGGGGTTCAGTTTCTTGCTGCTCTCAAGCATCTCACCCATTTCTGAAGGTGTCTTTCCCTGTTCCAGGGAAAACCAGACCAAACAGCTCTATCCACAAACTACAAAGACTGAACATCTCCTCTTCCTTACTTTTCCTGTTCTTTATGATTGTATCTGCACACAGCTGACCATTTTCTGTCTGTAGTGAAGGACTTAATATCATCTGCTCTTCCTCCTCAAAATGCACAACCACTATTCCCACTCCCACAAACCCAGGAGTTACAATTACAGGCAGACAGTGCCTGTGCTCACACTTGCAGAGTAAATTCCCTGCCTTTGGATAGAGAATGTTTGGGGTGGCGTGTGATGAGAAGTCTGTACAGTTTTGGTAGTAAAGCAAGGAGTAGTTTTAACACAGTTCTCACTGAAGGGCATTGGGAGTCTGCCTTATGCTTACTCTTGTGTGGTACAGGTGTTCTCAGACTGCTCTTAGATTACAGCAACTTCCCAGAGCTATGAACATAGGCTGTCCCACAGGCAACACAACGGAACTTAGCCCACAGTCAAATCACTATTTATTGACTGCATTAAAGGCTTCTAAAAAGTGCCTTCTGAGGTTAAAAGGAAGCACACACTCCTAATACTTTCCTCCAGCTTCTGGTTCTGTTAATTGTCCCCCAATTTCTTCTATTTTATCATCACTAAAGTCACTGTTTCCCATTGTGCAATGCTATGACATGCTGGGATTTCATGGCCAAAGGTTTGTCATCTGATCAGTTAGTTTTAGTCGTGGTGCACAATTTACAGAAAACAAGATGTGTTTGTCCCCTGAATTTCCACTGAACCACGTGGAGAAGTTCACCAGTATAATGGAGCAGTGTATGATCACAACAGGTGAAGCTTAGAAAAAGTTGCTTTCCAAGGTTTTAATGAAACACTGCACAAATTAGTAAAGTGATATTTCAAGCAGAACAAGTTCAGTGCCTGAACCCTACTCAGTTTCTGGATTAGCACGTGCTGAGCTAATTAAAAGGCCTCTGCACAAAATGGGGTTATTGTATAAACTCGTCCTTGGTTTAATAAATTTAGTGACAACTTTTCAGAGAAGGTTGGAACCTTCTATTTTCCTTTACTGTTGTGCCTGGCCATTAAAGACTGCAAAATCAGTTGCTTGCCTGGGACTGATGCATCTGAGGCCACTGTACTCTGGCATGAAGGAGATGGCCCCTTCTGACGCCATGTTTCTTATAGCTTACCCCCACTGTAGTTTGCTGAAGATCAGGTACAATAGAAGATGCTATCTAAATACCAAATGCAGTAAACACTTTTTTAAACAACACTAGACAAGGGAGGGAATTATAATTCTATTCCTAATATAGCAATATTTCTGACTATTTACAGAGAACTGTATACAGCACTACCCTTAAGCCAAGTTCTCCCCCCCCTCCCCCCCTTTCTTAGGGATATTATTTTCCTTTATTTTTTTTATTTTGAGAGGCAAAAAATATTACAGTACTAACCACACAGTGGTGCTGGATGGCATTTGGATGATTTATTTAGCAGAATATAAGAAAAGCCATTTCATTTTTAACACATGTAATTACCACAATAGTAGTAGTAATCAAACTTATATAGGATCATGGCACCAAAAAAAATGGACAACCAAAAGGAGATGATCTAAGATTTTCAACTTGTCCAACTGTAGCTGTTCTTACCCATTTCCAAAGCAGAGAATGGCATCCCTGAAGCAGAGAATGGCCTTCTGCATCCATCAATACACTCACTGTGCTAAAAGGAACAGTTTAGTCTGTGCTATTTTTTTCTCATCAAATGTATTTTCCACCAAAAATAAAGGTAGTCCAGGAAGGCTTAATTTTTTACCAATTTTGATATAGAAATCTATCAATGTTTTTCTGCATAATAACAGAACATAAAAGCATCTGTGCAGTGATGGACAGTTTCTGGCTGCAAGAAACTTTTCAGAGAAAATAAAAGCAAATTTTATAAATGGTATTGAAGTGGCTCAGCACGGAATTACTGCAGCACTTACAGCACATGCTTACAGAATATGCTATAATAGAGAAGAAATTGCGAACTTGTTTTTAAAGCATTTTATTAGTAGCTTTCACTGTTTATTATTTATAATTCTTAATTGAATGTGTTGGTCTTATTCTTTCACCCATTTTCATTTTTAAAAAGACTTCAATACATACTTAAATATTTGCATAATTCCACAAAGTCAAATCAGGCTGTGTCAATTTTATTTTTTGCTTCACCTCTAATTTTCTTTCTGCATGCCCTAATGTCATCCTTAAACGTTTTCTGAGATGCCTGCCCATTTTTCCAAAGATTATATAACCTCTTTTTTCTCCTTAGTTTCTTCAAAAGCTCCCTGTCCAGACAGGTCATTTTCTATTTTTTTCCTGCAGCTGTATCCTGTCCTGTAGCTAGTCTTTTGACTCATAGGGATAGCCTTCTCCTGCACCTTCAAGATTTCTTTCTTAAGGTATGTCTATCCTTCCTGGACCCCTTTGTTTTTAAGGCCTGTTTCCCAAGGTACTCTCTGATCAGCATCCTGAAGAGGCTGAAGTTTGCCTTCCAGAAGTCCAATGTACAGTTTAGTTGATACTCCTTATTTTACTGAACACTGAAAACCTTATGATCACTGTATCCCAGACAGCCTCTGACCACCACATCTCCCACTAACCCTTCTCTATCTGTAAATAGAAGGGCTAGCAGAGCCCCACCACTGGCTCGTAATCTTCAAACATCCTCCAGCTGCTTACAGAGTAATATATCCCCCTCTTCATCCTGGTTGGGTGGTCTATAACAGACTCCCACTAGGATGTCTGCCTTGTTGGCTTTCCCCCTGATCCTTACCCATAGACACTCAACCTCATCACCACTGACCTCAAATCCTGTCTTGTCAAGAGATCCCCAATGTACAGAGCCACCCCAGCACCTCTCCTTCCTCTCCCATCCCCTTGAAAAGCCTGTGACCATCCATTGCAGCACCCCAGTCATGCGTGTCATCCCACCGTGTTTCTGTGATGGTGATTACAGCATAGCTTTCCTTCTGCACCATGGCTTCCAGCTCCTCTTGTTTGTTGCCTGTACAACATTAGTGTACATGCACTTCTGGTGGGCTGATCTCAACTTCAACTCCAACTTGCCACTCTCAGGCTCATCTCTGAAGAGCCTGGTTTCATCCCCTTCCCCCTTCATACCTAGTTTAAAGGCCTCTCAATCAGCCAGTTTATGGGCTAAAATCCATTTTCCCTTGTTAGATAGATGGATGGAGCCTCTCTGACTCTAGCAGGCCTGGTGCTGTAACAGTTACCCCATGATCAAGAAACTCAAAATTGTTCTGATGACACCGGCCCTTAAACCACTTATTGGTAGCATGAGTTTTCCTGTTCTTTCATCATTCATCTCTGCCACTTAAGGAACTGAGCAGAGCACTGCCTGCACTCCTGTCTCATCAGCCAATCAACCCAGAGCCTTGAAGTTCCTTTTTAATTACCCTGGCACCCTTATCAACATCATCATTGCCCACCTGGAAAACCAGCAGTGGGTAATAAATACACTTAACCACAAGTATGGAAAATTCTATTGCTGTGTATTAAAAAAAAAAAAAAAAAAAGAAAGAAGAAGACACACAGAGGAGGCTTAGGACTAATGCAAGGAGAACTGAATTCTATCAAAAACCTGGTGTTGATGATGAAATATTAATTTTTTAATGGTTCCTGCTTACTGCATTTTCCAACTGGCAGTGCATATGGAGGGGTGTGCAGCTGCTCAGCCTGACAGCTCCAGATGGACCCATTTTTGAGTCATCTGCATGGAGGGGAAAAAGGTGACCAGAAGGGTTTTTAGAAATGAAACAAAGTCTACAAATTCCCATTAGGAGGAAACGGAACACTCAAACCTTTAGTCAGAAAAGAAGGGGGGTGTTAAGAGGTCAAAGAGTGTGTGTCTCATTGACAAATTACTTCCTGTGAGTATAGTGGCTTCCATTTTATGTCATTAAAACTAGCAGAGTCAGTGACTTGACATCATGTTGTTCTTTAATGCACCCGTAGATAATTTACTATTTCCCAGGTCAGGAAGTTGAAGCCAGGACTTCCATTATTAGAATGGATATAATGCAAGTACAGATCAATGGTCAGAGCCAAGGAAATTTAAGCACCAGCATTCTAAATTTTCTTAGAATTAGAGCTTCACTTTTCCTAAAGCTTATCTTAACATACATGTCCAGAACACTTTCCTTCCCAGACACTTGCAAAGTGTTCAGCTAATAATTTGGATTTTTTACAAAATTTACACCTACAAGTCTGAGCTGTCTATAAAACATAACTGTGCCTTCCAAAATGACCCGTGGTTCAGATTTCTTTCTACTGAACATGTTGATCATTGGTGTATATGTAAATGCCTGGGCTCAGAAAGTAATAACTGGTTAAAATGTGAAATTCCCTGTTTTGATTTCTCCTACTGAGTGCTTTAATCACCAAATTCTAAATGAAAAATGTCCTTTCCATCTTCAGAATTCATTAATTCAGTAATCATGAACTTATTCTAGTGTGCTAAAGCAACATCAATGACTGAGATGTAGTGTGTTTTTCTGCATGAATATCTTATAACCAGCTACTTGGAACACCATCACAAGTTTGGAAGTAGGACATGGCTATTTGCCATTTGGGACTCTTCTACCCTGAATGAAAACTGTGTTCACCTTAGTACTTTACAATATTCATTCTCAAAATAGCAGACACAAAGTCAAATTTTTCAAAATAAAAATGCTTATAAGTCAAAATTTATTACATTTTATCTAACATAAAATATAACTCTTTCATTCCATGCTCTGAACTAAAATGTTTTTTGTATGGTTTTACGTAGAAAACTTCACAAGCAAGAGAAATTTTACTTTCTAGACAGAGATTAGAATTACTTCTTCACCATGACATTATTTATGAAACATCACATCTAATTGTATGTGAAATGAAAGATTAAACTCAATGCCATTTAAAATGAAGATCACAATCATGGATTCAAATAGAAATATAAACTACTTATGTAGCAATCCTGATGTGAGCTACTTATGATGTAAAATTGTGAAGGGTTTCATTCCCTTACCTGGTTTACCCTGTTAGTCATAGGCACATCCACCCATTGGTGCCACATACCTTTTTCAGTTTAATGACTCCTTCCTGGGTGTACTCATCTGTTGTGATGTCAAACAAGTTTCCTCCATCTCCTGGAACTATGTTGTACTCAATTTCTGCATTTTTCCCAAAATCAGGGTCCACAGCTCTGATCCGTCCAATAGCAGAACCAACATGAGAGGTCTCAGGTACTTTTAAATGGAAGATACCTGTGAAAAAGTGGTAGACAGTCATTCTTGGGATTTCGTGGTAATTACAACATGTATTTCTGATTAAAATCATGGAGCCTGGGTAAAATAAAAAGACCTAAATAATCTAATTAAAATTAGGATATTAATTAAAATTGGAAAAAACAAAGGTTTTGAAAAATATATTCCAGTTTTATCTATTGACTCCTTAGATTCTAGATTTTGTCCATTACAACTGCAAAGGCATTAGCATCTCTATCTCTTGAGATATATATCTGTATTTCTATCTTAAATTTTTCACATGTAGTTGACTCTCTTGAATTAAATTGTACTTATAGATAGTAGTACAATTAGATAGCACATGTTTTTAAACACTTTCCTCCTGTTTTTTTTTTGTTTGTTGTTGTTTTTGTTTTTAATTTTGTTGTTAATTTTTCATTTGCTTGGGTTTTGGGGGGTTTTTTTGGGGTTTTTGTTTGGTTTGGGGTTTTTTTTTTTTTTTGTTTGTTTTTGTTTTTGTTTTTAATTTTGTTGTTCATTTTTCATTTGCTTGGGTTTTTGGGGGGTTTTTTTGGGGTTTTTGTTTGGTTTGGGGTTTTTTTTTTTTTTTTAGAAAGTATATTTATGACTTTCACATTGATTGAAAAGAAGAATTCAATGGAAAAGGTTTTCACCCAGTTCTTTAAAATTCAGTACTATAAATAAATTTACTACTGCTTTTAGAAGATATAGAGTATTGTTCACACATGAACCACCAGAGGGTGCTCTTAGTAAAATTTCAGAGCTAAGCAATTTTTAGCTTAGAACACTTTTGTTTTCAGATTATTTACTACAATTTATAATAATTAAAAAAAAAAAAAAAAAAAAAAAAAAACACCAAAAATTACACACTTTTAAAATAAGCATTGCTGCTGACATGTAAGGAGAAAATGGTTTCATTCAGGTGAACAACTATGTTGGAAAATGCTAGACATAATAGAGCTAAACGTAAAAGTCCAAAGTGCTTTGAGGCAGCCTTCATTTTAGCAACAGCAGTAGCAGCAGGCCTGAGCTTGTAACATGGTGCCCTGACCTATTTCACTGCTCCTGAAGTGTCTGTATTCTGTGTTTAGTTGCACCTCTTGCAACTTTGCTCACTTTGCTCAGCTGCCAGTGAGCGCCTCCATGATCAGCGTTTACAGTGGGCAGGCAGAGCTCACCTTTCTTCAAGTACCAGTCTCTGCTGTCAAAAATGCCAGCAACTTTTGGAGCTGGTTTTAAGCCCAGGATGCTTGATTCACTTAATCCTGTCTCTCAACAAAGCTAGCCACATCATTTTATTTCCCTTGGTTCTTTGTTTTTCCTGGATCAATGTTCCACAGCTCTCACAGAGCAGCAGAAAACATCGGCAGTGGCCTGCACGGTTCTGCTACATGTGACTTGTAGGAGGAAATTTGCGCCTCTTTTTCAACAGCATGGCAGGAGAGGCACCTGTGACTCTTGGGAGGAACATTAGGAGGATGTCTCAGAGATTTCCACCCGGCAGTGGTTCAGCCACATATCACAAAATGAGGCTATGAAAAGCCTGTATATTATGTAACAGCAGGATAGATTACTTTCACATTCAGCCGCTGAATTAAACAGCAGACAATGTTCCCTGTCGTTATCTTCTTACAATGCATGCTGTGTCAGCCTTTTCAGCTTCACAATATTTTGAGGTGAGGAACAAAATGACATTAGCACTGCTGGATGAGGAGCAGGCTTACTCTTTTCTGAGCTAGTCATATAATACCTATATAATTGTCTGTTTGATTGCGTCTGAAAAATTCTCTTCTGTTTGCTTCCCCTGCTCTGGTCAACAGTATGCAAAGTACACCAGAAGGCAAAATTTGCCTTTTTTTCTTAGAGAAAATCCCCATAAGCAAAGTCAGCTTGTGCCAGCATTTACTTCTGGACATCACAGTGTATATGTTTGTATTATCCATTGACTGAGCTACTAAAGACTGAGAAATTATCATTTCACTACTTTTCTTTCCAAGGGAACATACTAAAGGAAGCTGTATTTGTTAGTGCAGTACTTCTTTTTTCTAACAGCAGGAAAGGATTGTTATGACACAAAATGGTGTCATGACAAGATAGTCTCAGCTATTTCTCAGATGTACTTTAGTAATTCTGACTAAAAAATAAAATTTTAACATGGTATTCGTAACACAATCAGAAATCCTCATATTATTTAATGTCAAACACATGTTTACAAACACATGTATTACTGGGTCTCTGCCATGCAAATTATGAAGTAAAGAGACCAAAAAGGCCCTTATCTACACTTGAATCTTACATTAAGTTTCTGCAACACAGTCCTAACCTTGATGTCCTCATCATTTACTGGCACTCATATCAGATAACAGAAATCATTGCTGCAGCCATTGCTGTTTGCATCCACAATTTTAGTGAAAATCAAATGGAAGAGCATATGATCATAGATTTTTCCATATTTGACAAATTGGTCTACTTTTAGTGATCTGTAGATCACTCGGATTCATTAAAACAAGCATCTCCCTAAAAAATATTGCACCTGGATGAAAAGCATATGGGACTTAGATGAAGTCAAAGAAAGACTAAATTATTAATTTCTCATTGTTTAGGCTTTTATCAGTTATTTCCAATGACTTGGCATTTCATCATTTCCAGAAATTCAACAGCAATAAAGATGGGGTCATCCAGACTAATTTGAAACTGTGAAGCACTCTTCAACCCTGCAAGTCATATTTCTAAAGACATAGTATGTAATTACAGTGCCATTGTCCTTCTGTGATATTATCTTCAGCACATGGAAGCTGTTAACTGTTCTACTGTGACAACTTAGTTTCAGAATAAAATAAATGAAAACAAATAATGTCTATTGCTTCCAGCTTGCAGAAAAACTTCAAGGGAATACAATATATAGCATGAAACCTTCATTCCCTTCCTCCCCACCCTCAAATAAGAGAATCCTAGAATCGCAGTATATGTTGAGCTGGAAGGGACCCAAGAGGAACACTGACTGCAACTCCTGACTCTGCACAGGAGTCCCTGAGAACCACACCATGTGCCTGACAGTGTTGTCCAAATGCTTCTTGAACTCAGAAAGGCTCAGTCTTTGTAGGAAGGACATTTGAAATTATCAATATATGCTATACATCAAATGAGATAGAAAGACAGTTTTGTAGATTTTTATTTTTCTGTTTCCAGCAGACATTACTTCTTGCTGTGGACTTGCTGTGACAGTTTAGCATTATTCATTTTTTATCGTCCATTTTGCCTGTATACACTACTACCTCCATTTGCTATAGAGATATATTGAAACAAGCCTGAGTAATAGCCTTTTACTCCCAAGGGTCCTGAAAACCTTGTTCTCTTCAGCTTCCAGGAATGATGGAACAAGCACTTCAGACAAACTTACGCAGCAGCTGGTTATGCTGCTCAAACAGTTCTGGCAAATTTTTTTGATGTGACTTCTCTACCAACTTTCTTTCTTTCTTCTACTTGCATAAATCTTTTTTAAACGTGTTTTCTGAGTTTGCTGCTGTCTTTTGGGATGTACCAAAGGAGAAAGCCCTGACTTTCTTCAAACTGCAGTATAAAACTGGACTCTGAAACTAGCTCCCCACTTTGCTGATTTTAGTCACCTATATTGCATGCAAGTCGGGATATGTTCATGTATAGGAAATCTGGCAGCAATAAATATTGCTTTATTGCTTGGTTAGAACTTTGTCTTTCATGTTAAGTGGCATCAGTGAAGATTATAAAAATAAATGAGTGATGATGCTGTTGAATCTTTTAATCCGAAATAACTGACAGGGCTAATTGCTTAGTTCCAAAATCATTGAGGAAAATGAAGCAGAGGTTAGCTAACAATTCATACACATTCCCTCTGAGTTTCTAAAACAAAGGTGGTTCCAAAGCACACAGCGGGAAGAAATCAGAGCTAAGTGACAGGTAATCAGTCATATTGACTGAAATGCAGCACACATTTACAGTTCCTCTGACATGATAAGATTAGTTTTATTTTTTAAGGCTCAAAAGCTGTTCTGGAGTTTGATTTTTACTTACGAAGATGTTAAGTGCATTTTTGTTTGTTTTTTACTTAAAAAGAGGTTTTTTTGTTGTGTGTCTCCACGCTTGAAGTTTACACCGTCTTTTACCAAAAAGCTTTTCAGGTCTGATAGGAATAGCACATGAAAACCATTATTACTTCTTATCAGCAAAACAACTATTAAGAAATTACCCAGGTTAACATCCAAGGACTTAAGCTAAATGCATAATGGCTTTTAATCAAACAGCTGCAAATGCTATTCAAACTTTTTTTTTTTTCTAATCTGTCACCATATTTGCACTGTGCAAGATTATCCTCTCCTGATTTTTTTTAATGTACTTTTTTCAGCTTTCTGGCAGTTGCCAAAGTCCATTGCAGTGGTCCACAATAGCATGATTTTTAAAGGCAAAAACACTGAAGTAAAATAATTTCTCTCTCTTTCTTCTAAATCTTTAATGTTTCTTCAGGAGAAAAAAACCAAACAAAACAAAATACCAAAACAAACTAAATAAAACCAGACAACAGACCCCCCCACCCCCAACCAAAACCAACCAACCAACATTCAAACTCCACAACAACAACAAAAAAAAAAAAAAAAAAAAACAAACCAAGACCACAAAAACCAAACAACAAATCCCAAACCCACCAGACAGTGTATTGTAATATTCTTTTTAAATTAAATTACCAAGGCATTAATTTTTATCCTGATCCAGGTTGTAAAGACACTGATTTACATCTGTTTAGGAAGAATCATAAGGCAACAGTTCATATTTTCTCACTGGTGTTTTATCTACAGTATAATAGGGACAGGAAAGTATAATGTAAATATAGAAGCATACACTCAATATATTAAACCTGCTACATCAGCTACAGCTAATCAGCCTAATAAATAGCAGCATCTGATGCATATGCTCATAAAACTAGGGAGATGTGATTTAGCACAGCAGTAAGATGCATTCATTCCTTT